CCTGCGCGCGGGCTCGGCGGCGGCGCCGCTGCCCGTTATCCGCAATATCCCGGACTCCGGCGGCATCTCCTTGGGGGTCTGCCAGGCTCGAGGTCTCCAAGGCTCGTTGGGGTCCAGCCTGAAGTCACAGGCACTGAGACAGTCACCCGCGATGCTTATTCTAGACTAGAAAAGGCTAAATAAGTAAATAATAACAAAAAAAAGCTACGTAAAGGTTGCCCCTATGAGTTTCCTTCCCTCAAATTTTGTTGTAATCGTGGAACTTTGTCATAAAATTTGGGGGACATATAATCAGTTGCTTGGAGAGTAGCAAATGTGACAGCTCGTGTGTCTGTTTCCCAGGGAGATGACAGCTTGTCTGTGATAACCTGTGAATCAGATGCAGAAATGGTGAGTTTTATTAATGGCATGCCGCAGGTGAGCGCTTGAAAAGATATTTTGGGATGTTTTTGCACGTACCGGATCCACGTGGTGGCTAGTGATCATCTTGCAAACAGCAGAGCTAAGGATATGTTTTTGCAACATAGTTTGGAGCAGAAACTTTGTACAATTGCAGAAGCAATTCTAGGCTGTCTGTTCTCAGTATGGAGGCCTGCAAGTTGTTTGGTATCATTTCATTGTGTACCAAGTTATGGGCACTAAATATTCATTTTGCAGTGTTTTAATCGAACACACCTTTTCATTGACTAAATGGAAAGATAAAGGTTGCAAGAAGATGGTACAGATCATCCTCTCTGATAATTTTGGACTGCTGCTGCTCATACTCAACACTCTGGGTTCTAAGCAGGAGTGGACCATGTTGTACCATAAAACATCAGTAGGATCCCCATAATTTTGGTGTACTGTTATTGTGGTCACATTCAATTTTTCTCATTCTGTGTAGACTTAATGCTACAATTTATGTATGTTTTCTACCCATAAAATTTTGTTTTATTAGAGCATCATTTCCCACTAAAATTGAGATTTAAGTCAATTTCAAAGTAATATGCCAGAGTCTTGGAGGAGTGGAACATTTTAAATGCATTTATTTATTTATTTTTCTTTCAGAAGTTAAAGAAGAAAATTTTTCACAAGCCTCCAAAATCACCAAGTAAGAATTCCAAAGTCTTTTCTTGTGCATCTTGTTATGTGGAACAAGATAGATTTTCATGGGCCATGGAAACTGGAAGGTTTACATGAAACAACATCTTGTGATTCTCTATAAAATTATTCACTGCTCTGTGGAGAGCACATCTATGTCAAACCTGTATTCTGTAAACAACAAATTTAGGCTTTTGTAGACTAAAATTGTATTTGTAATTTCTGATCCCATATATTTCATATTTTTCATGTATTTCATGTATTTCATATTGTTCCTTCTAATGACTGGCACTTGGAATTTCTTTTTGTTTTGATCTCTCTGAGAACATGCTGTAGCTTTTGTTTTTTTCTGCTATGTGGAATTATTAGAGCTGTGCATCCCACCATCCAGTAGATATCTGCAATTATAGATTAAAAAATCCTCTGTTTCATTTGTTGTTTCTTTCCCGTGGCCTTAGTAGTACAATGCAGAGTATTGTCTTACTGTTGTTGGATCTTTTGTTTTAATAAACTGCATGTTTAATGGAGAGGACCTTTTTTGTGGGTTATGATTCTTACTGGACTTTTTCGTTAACCTTTCCTATTCTAATTGCAGTGATTGTTTAAAAAGCAATTATATTAAACTTGTTACTGAGTTCGTTGTTTTGTTTATGATAAATGATATAAAGTTGCACGTCAAAACTTTAGGTAGAGATGGACGCATGCCTGTGCTCTTTGATGGATGTCTGTCTGTCTGCCATCTTCCTTTCTTTTACTGAAGCTCCCTTGCTTGTCTAAATGATCGAATTTAGAAATAGCCTTTTAATTTCAGCAGTGACTTTTGTGACATTGTTTCTGATTGTGCTTCTCTTGATTATGTAAAGACTAACTAGATATAGCCTGCATCTATACTAATAATTTAAAGCAGAATTAGCATATTTAAATGTGACCACCTTGCCTGAGCAAGGACCTCCTCAGCAATTGCAATAGGCCAATTCTGTCTTTGATGTCTGCAAGAAACTTGCTAGCAGAATGTTAGCCATATAATTATTTTTATTTGTTTAGCAATATATATCCTTCTCATCAATAGGACATTTGGGCATATATTCATTGAAAGGACAATTATGTATGTGAATCTAGGCATGCAACTCTCTTAAGAGTGCATATTTAAACTGTACATGTGAATGTTTCTGCATATATTGGATCTTTCTATTGTGCCTCTTTCTAATTTTCTTCATTTATTGGAGTTGGATTTTTTTTTTTAAGCATGACTTTTTAGATTAATATCTTATTGCTCTGCATGAGCTAGGATTTAGTATGTTGTTGAACTGTATTTTTATAGCTAAGAGAACTGTGTCTGGGAACCTGGAAGCACAAGGCAGAAAGAATTCTTGTAACCTGGAACTTCTTAAGGCAGTGCTGAAGTATTTTCTTTTGCATTAGAGTCTCCATACAGCTCTAGCACACAACTGTATCCTAAAAAAGCTGCAGTTTGGAGGTCTCTGCAGGGAGCAGGCAGCCCATATCTTGAAAGTGCAGCCTTAACAAACCCAAGGCACATGTGGCTGGGAACACTGAAACAAGGTATCGATATAAACATTTCATCTGCATGTGTGAATAAAATTCAGTGGTGGGGAACACTTAGCATATGCTGAAGCAACACAGATTTTCTATTTGATTAGAGGCTTCTATAAGTTCATTTCACTATTATTTATCTGGGTGTTTGGAACTGAGTTTGAGTTATCAGATCTTGAGAACTGGAATTTATAGTGGAATAATTAACAGCATCTGGAGCTTTCTGTATTGTATTTTCTCATAATAAATCTGCAAATTTAATCCATAATTATTCTTGATTTTTCTGTTTTGTTATTGGCAGGAATGAACCATTCTCTCAAATCAGATGTTGACGTAGGGCATTTGCGAACTAACTTTCCCAGTAGCACGCCAGAATATTTGAAGGAAGCTCTAGGAATGAAGAAGCCAAAACATTCCCGTTCCTCTAGTAATGGTAAGCTCTGTACCTGTATGTAGATAAGTGAGTATTCCCCCCCCGCCACCCCTGTAAAGACCAACATTGTTTGTTTAATAACTTAGCTTTAGTATAGCGAGGACCACTTCAGTTTAAGCTGTATTGAATGTGTGTCAAAATGATATTCTTGGAATACTTCTTGAAATCGAGCTGTTCCCATCAGGCTGGTTCTCACTGTTTCTAAATTAGCTAAGACAGGGGCTTCTAAATATTTTTTTTTGAGCAGTGAATTGCTATTAGCTTTCAGAATTCTTGTGAATTGCCATGCACTTTCAGTTGAAAACATTGTACATATAAAATGATTCCATGGGCCAGCTGTAGAGAATTTATTGTTACTTTGCAAAGCAAAGTTTGGGAACCATTGATAGAAACCATCTGCTTGCCCAAAATTCTGTGTAATTGACTCCTTTTACTTCTCTGGAAAGTGTTTTTATCATGTGGTTGTGATATTGAAATCAATTGAGTTTTATTAGAGAAGCAAAATTAGAACTTTTCTGGTCTTATTTCCTTAAAGGAGAACTGTGAACTTAAAAATCTCACGTTTAAAATGACACCAATGCTGTTATTGGTAATATATAACTTCCTTACAACTGTAAAAGAGTATAAACTTTAACATACTAGAAACCCATAGAAAAACATATTCTGGAAGTTTTTTTTAGAAGTCTTTTCTAAATACTTGGTCTGCTGAGATGAGAAGGGTGTGTTCTTCCATGAAGTGTATGTTTTCTCTCGAGATGGTTATTTTTAATGCTAAAGGAAAGAGAAATATTTGGGAGAAATTTGCAATAAAATCTGGCAGAAAGTTCATATGGTAACACCTGCATTTTTAAAATAGATTTTTTTTTCCCAACTGACTTTTCTGCTTTTAAAAAATGGCAGAGTTTCCCATTTGCTGCTGTTCTTAATATTTTCCTTTAACTGTAAGACTTTTGTTTAGGAGGAATACCTCTTTCAAGTCCCATTATTGTACGTGGGTGTTCTTTTTTTTTTTTCTGTAGGCTACATTCCTGGAACTCCTGACTACAAGGAAAAAGAAGATATGTATGATGAAATTATAGAACTGAAGAAGGTGGGGTTTCCCTGATATTTACACAGCAAAAATTATAGTGCTTCTTCATCTGTCTAGATGTTCAGGCCTTGTTGGTTCAGACTGCTTTGGTTCCTAGGAATGGGAACCAAATATTTCTGTATCTGTAATGTAAGGTCTGAACTAAAATTGTGTCTATCTGTGGCAATTTCATTGTTCTTATGGTATGATAGATACTTCTGAGTACTGGATGTGGAAGTCTTGAAGTATACTCAGTCCTGAACCCCAGCCATGGCCTTAGTTGGACACTGAAAAGGTTCATTGCATTGATTTCTCTGTCCTCCCCATTTTTTTCCTGGTTGTTACGTGTCACACTTTAACAATTTGTCAGTTGAGTCCTTGTGCAGTGTGAGAAAGAGGAGGACTGGGCAAGTCAAACATTGAGGATATATGTAGCCAAGTATCTTGATTGTTGTAGATCATTTTTGTGAGGTTGCCTTTCCATTAAACTTTTTTTTTTTTTTCCTTTTTCCCTATCTTTGCTTTGTTGCTCCCTTGTCTGTCAGTCCTGGTCCTGTGTGATGGCTTCTTTTTCTTTTTCCTTTCTTTAATTTCATTCTGGCCGTTGTAATTGGGTTATTATTGGCTTCAAAGCGTGTTTCCCTGTGAAAAATTCAGTGCATTCCTGTCTCGTGATGAACCTCTTTCTAAGGTTTTGTGTTTTGTTTCCCCCTGCCTCTTTTAGACAATACAAGCTCAGAAAAATGAGGGAGATCGAATGAAAACAAAACTCCGTCGACTAGAAGAAGAGAATAATAGAAAGGATAAACAGATTGAACAGCTGTTGGATACTTCCAGGGTGAGTTATAACTATCATTTGTGAAATAAAATGCAGATTAGGGAACATGGAGCTGAGTAGTGTGATCCTCTTCTCATCTCACTGAATATCAGAAATGTGTAATGTGGCTGCTAGGAATGGTGAGCTTGAATATGAGAGGTAGTGGGTGTAGAGTGATTTTAGTTTTGTCTGTCTCAGCTCACCATTCAACTTGCCTCTAATTGGAGTTCAGGGGAAGATCATGCCGTGCCGTTCAGATAAATTTATTTAGCGATGATAATCTTCCTTTCTGAAGGTAAAACTAAATTGACTTCCCTTTGCTCTCAGGCAAAACACTTGGAGAGCAGGCCCTTCGAGACAGCAATCTCTTGCACAGTGATTGATGCATGTGGTCCTGAGACTTGAAGCAGAGAGCAAAGGATGAGTTTTATTGTTAGACCTATGAGGCTGAGAAGCGTTTAGGAGCAGAGGCAGGAGAGTTGAATTGCACTAAAGTCCTGCCTGTTGTTTTCTGTGTGCTCTTCTATATCTTGGGAGAAGTCTACTTACACAATGAGCATGGGGACTTTGGAATTTAAGCTGTTGGACTAGAAAATGACTGTGAAGATGAGCAGAAAAGAAAATTATCTGTGGACAGAGAACAACCTGTAAAATAAGGGAATAAAGTCACTCACTTTCTTCATTGCCTTCTCTTGCAGGGCTCTGAGCTGGCACGAGTTTTGTCAGAGAAGAAGGCTGATAATGGACTGGTACCTGTTTCTTTGCTACCTTTTGCTTTCGTTTTTCTTTTTTCTAAATTGGACCACTACTGATTAGAAAGATAAAGTGAAGTAGAAAAGAATTAAAAAAGGGGAAACATGTAAACATAACTTTTTATAGTTTGATAGAAACAAAACAAAACAGTGACAAAGACCTGGAATTAACAGTAGCTTAAAGAGCTGCCTTTGTCATCATCATGAATCTGTTTACATCAGTGTTGTTCCTTTTATTTACTGCTGTGAATTTAGCAGGATAATAGGAAGAACTGTTTTTGTTTAATGATTGTGCGTAAGTATTTTTCAGTTGATGTTATAATCATTGACATAAATTAGGAATTGATTTGTTTGGAGTTCTCTTTGTTACCTGATAGTAGGTGTCCACACAGGTTACTGAATATTGTGAGCTATCTAATACATACTGTAAAGTATGTAGGAATAAACATGTCTGATTAGGTAGAATTTATAAAGAGGGGGCAGGATTTTGGGGAAGCTGAACTTGTATGGGGAATCATTCTTATAGGAGTGATAAGCTCTTTATTCTTTCTATAGGTGGTTAGTGCATTAAAGCAGAAGATTCTCAAGCTGGAACAGCAGTGCAAGGAAAAAGACAATGCTATCAAGTATGGCTTTGCGGGGAGAAGCTTGTATTGGAGAAGATAATCAAGGGATTTTTGAAAACCATTTTATTTTTACACACTATTCTTTGGCTCCCTAAGGCAAATTAAACCCTGATCACAATGAACCCTGGAAGTGTCTTAGAAATTATAGATCATCCAGAAATTACAAACCTGTATTACAGCCCCTTTGTTAGTCTGACTGGACTAATTTTTGCGTTCCTGTGTTTTCAGCCATTCCCAGACAGACGTAAAGACCACTAATTTGGAAGAAATGAGGATAGCTATGGAAACCTACTATGAAGAGGTACATCTGACAAGGCCTTCAGCAGGCATAGGGAGAAGTTGTCAATTGTTGGGTTGAAATATAAGTAGCATGTTTTAGACACGCTTGCTCTGCTGCACCTGGCTTGGAGGAAATCAGCTTTTCACAGATGTTCTTGTAGCTGAAAAAGCCTTCTGAAGAACGTCGAGCATATTAACTAAAGAGGGGAAATAACTCCTTAATGGAATCTGTGTTTTGTACTTTTCAGGTTCATCGCCTCCAAGTCCTCCTGGCAAAATCTGAGATGATGAGGAAAAAGTATGTCCAATTTTTTGAGGCAAATGTTCATGTATATGTTTGGTGTATCATTCATATACTATTTTAACGAATGGAAAGCAACTTTATATGAACAGTTTATATGATCTTGTCATTTAGATAGCACTAAAATGTAAATCCAGCAATCATGGTTGGTTTCACATGGTTGGCCTGGGCATATGTCTTGGTCACATTATTTTTCTTATTGTTAGGTAACTATAACTTTCACTGGAAAGTAGTACTAGATCTCTGAAACTTTATTTCTGTTGAATAAATATTTTACCAAATAATAGAACTTTTCCTAGTATCACCATTGATTGAAAAGAAAATTAATTACTTGTTTGGTATTCTGTGCATAAGTTCTGCACCATGTTCAGCATGGCTAAAAACGTGGGTAAAGCCCTTCCCATATCTTCGTTTGCAAAGCCATGATGATGATGATGTTCAGGATAAGTGCTATGAAGAAGGTGATCTGGAGTAAAAATTACTTTCCTGTGGTGCAGAGGAACAGATCCTCTGTTCATGGTAGCTTTTGTGAGATATCCATATGTGGTGCTGGTAAGATGGCATCAGAAAATCATCTAGTAGTGCTTGTCTCTAATGTGCAGATGTACAGATGGGGATGAGGGCAAACATCTCTGAGAGGTGCTCTAGAGAAGAAATAAAAATTGAAGCACAAAGACAATAGGTAAAATTGCAATAAAAGGATCTGGATAAGGGAAAGTTAATCCAGCTGAGAGGAGGGTAGTAGTGTCTTGATAGGATAGTAAGATTTGATACCCTAGCATTTCAAAATTTGGTTGCCCGTCTAGCATTGTTTCAAATACGGGGAAGTATTTTTAATTTTGATTTGAACCCTGTATATACATATTTGTTTGTGGAGCTGTAGTAAAACTGTATTGACCAACTTTAATTTTAAATTATTTTTATTTCTAATTTTGGATGTAATTATTTAAATTGATAGAAACACACGGAAACTCCTTATGGGTCATTATATATACTAGTGTTTCCCTGATCTGTTGTCTCTAGTGGATTAAAAGCTGGGATTTGTTTTGTCAGTGCTTTAAATTTTTTTCATCTCTTATGGTTCAGACGTGCATTGACTAACCTCTGAAGGCTGAAAGCCATCACACTTAATTTAGTTACAGGTGAAAATAAGTCATCAGGTCTCTTCCTTGTCCTCATTTATTCACAGCTTCAAAAAGCAGTGGTCAAGGCAGTCTCTCTTGATTATATGGCTGTCAGTCTCCTCTTGAGAGGTCGAGCACTAGAATAACAAGTGATGTTCAAGGTCAGGACTGTGACACATAGCAAGAGTTGTAGGAGTGCGTTTTTTCATGATAACCTGTCTACATTATTTCTAGCTAAAGCAAATGGCATTTATCTCATTTTGATCTGTGTTATTCTGAAATGTATTTATATATGAAGCTGTAATGTCCATTTAAAAAAAACAACAACAACAAAGAAACAAAGCAAGCCTTTTAAGCCCTCAAAACAGTCAGTTCTACTTTAACTACCATTCAGCAATTGCTCTAAAATAATAGCAGTGAGTGATGCGGTTATGATTTGTATCACTTTTGTGTCTTTCTCTCTTTTTTTCCTCCTCACGTATGGTTTTTTTTTTGTTTTTTTGTTTTTTTTTTTTGCTTCCATATGTGTTGCTGCTGTGTGCAGCTTTCTGCATAGTCATCTGTGATACCTGGACAGAATTATTTGTTTTGATGGCTTCCTTTCTCTTTAATTCCCAAGAGGTAGACTACACTTAGTTTTTCAACTAAATTGTATTCCAGTTTTAGAGTACCTTGCCTTTAACCTTGTAATTGCTTTAGTGAATGGGATCTAAGCTTCCTTCGTAACCTGTTCTGTGATTGTCATGTCTATGATGCCATGTCCAAAGGAAGGTCCATTAGTTGGTTTAGACCTTTTTTATGAAACAGAGGGTTTAAGAACTTTCGCTTAGCAATAAAGAGCAAATATTTCATCTCACTAGGAATCTGTTTCGTGAACAGGCTTTACAACTTTGGACATCTGGCAGCTGAGATTTCTTTCTCCTTTTATTAGAAAATTAAAAGGGCAAAATCATAGTAATATATTCAAAGCAGTTTTAACACTTTGCAGGCTTTGCCTTTTCTGGTGCCTGTCATTCCCACCACATCAATGCTAGCTGTATTCTCCAAATCTGTTTCAAATCTGTCATTGATTGAAATGTATCTTAAATAAATAAATTCCTCTGTGGGTTTCTTTCACAGAAATGGTTTCTTTTACATTTGAGTACATTCACAGTTAGCTGAAAATACGTTTCTTTGGATTTGAAAATCATTGCTTAGTGTGTATATTCTTTTCTGTCACAATCTCAGTCTGTTTGTTAAGTGAAAGAGAGCAGTTCAGAGCACCTAAGTAAATTTTCTGTCCTGGACAGGATTTTGGCAGAGTCTCTCCATTGTTTCAAGAGAAGCATTGTTTGATCTGTGGCTCATAGATTACTGATAAAGTTGGTTAACAAAACAATTAGAATATAATAAAATTCTTACAAGCATTCTTATTTATACGTAGGGAAGCAAATAGAGCAGGAGAGGAAATTAAAGTAATAAATTACTCTTCTTAAGTTGACGTAACTTAGAACAATTGTGAAGGTGTTGAACAAGATGGTCTTTGAATGTTTTTTTCCTAGGAGAACAGATAATTCCTCAAATCAAGTGTTTAAAAAAAATGCTATGAGAGTGGGAAATGAGGCAGTTAACCTAGCCAGTTGACTTGAATAATGGGGCTACTTCATTCTTTCTGGTATTTCTTCTTTGTTCTCTGCTTTTAAGTTAACTTTCTGTTCTTGACCCCTTTTTCAAGTTTAGAGGGCAGAGATACCCAAAAACGACTAAAAGCCCTGAATGCTGCTGTCCTGAGATTATCCAGGAACATCAAGGAATTGCAGGATGAGAACCGAAGTCTGAAGGAAGATCTAGACCAAGTACTGAGCAGTTGCCCTACTTCCAATAAAACAAAAAGTATGTGCTGAGAAGTTGGTGAACATGGGGCAGGGATTTTAATGCATTTCAAAGATGTGTTTGAGAGAGTGGGCAGGATGTTACAATGGCAGAAACAAGGGAATTGGGATAAACATTTAGACTGAAAGGGGCTGAAGTTTGGAATGAGGAATTTCTTGTTGGAGTAGGTAGATCTCTGACTTGCGGGGAGGCCATTCCAATTAGCCCTCCCTTAATTTGTACTTGAGGATTTAAGATTTCATTGCAATATTTTCAGTTGTCAAAAAAAAATCAATGTAATTGATTTGTACTGAATTCTGAAATACTTTGTGTAGGAAGCTGGATATTTCAGGACCATTCTTATTTTTTTCATTGCTGTATCCTGAAGTTGTGGTTCAGTTGTCTTTAGGTGTTCTTGCTGTATGGGCAGAAGTTTCAGAAAACAAAGAAAAATGTTGATTTAGGTGATTTAGTTTCATGTTTAAACCTTTGTTACTATGTTTAGATTATGGTGAGTGGAGCAAACAGAGGCTGGTGAGAAGAATTTCAGAACTGGAAAAAGTAAGTGATCAAAATCATGTGGCCATATTACCCTTTTTAGAACAGAACATACAGAACCACCATCTTGTGCTCATAGCATGACATCCTTGCATGTGTTAGGCTTGGGCATTCTGGCTTCTACATGTAAGCTGTTACCTGTACCCTGCTCACCTCCCCACCCTTTTTTCTCTTGTACCAGTTAGATTATAGATGCAGGTTTTAGGAATAGCTTCCATTTAATCTTATTTTAGGAATAGCTTCCATTTAATCTTATTTTCCCTTAGCCAAAATGAAATAATTTTAAGCTATATTCAAATTTGCTCTTCTCGTCTTTTCCACTTTGTTTTTCTGTGTAAATTTCTCCTTTTTAGAAAGTAGATGCCATGGAGAACACGAGGTTATCATCAGCAGATAGTGAGACATCACAGTTACTTGCTGTGTCATCTTCACCTTCTGTAGACCTGGGTCATTCACCTTCTCAACAGCTGAACCATGGTGATGAATGTCAACAACTTCGAGGACTAGTGAAGAAGCTGAACAGTGATAGAAGAGCACTTCAAAATCTCCTCCTCAGTAAAGAGTAAGTGAAGGTCTTGTCTGAGATGTTGTCCTTTCCAAGGGATGAAATATTTCTATTGCTGGTTAAAACTTTTTAGTAAGTTCTTCATATTTTCAGCAAAAAGATGAAGCTTGAGGGTCCATTCCTCTTCTTCCTTCAAAAGCTTTTATTAGTCAAATCAGTTTAGTAAATATATGATATAGAAACATATGCAAGTGATAAGATGGGAATTGAGAATTTCCTTGTGTTTCTAAAAATGCATCTCCAAAGTATGTTTTTGTGTTTGTTTGGCCAACCACACTTGAAAAGCCAGTAAGTGTTGTAGGCAGCACTTCTTATAGATATTTTGCTGTAAATTTTTGGTCTTGCTTTTTCAACATTGGCTTTGTCCTAATCTGCCACTTGCTCAACTGAAGCCTGTCTTTTGCCATCCGATGTACTATGTCTTCTGTTCCCCTCAGCAAGCAATTTATTTGCAGTTCATGTTGGTTGGTCTAGTTCTTCGTGTCAGTGCACAGGGTCAGGCAGGTTAATCTGGCCATGAGCAGAGATGTGCATACAACTCTATGTGGTTAATAAGATACTCAGCCTTCTGTGCCAGCTCACCTCTGAACAAAAATGCTTAGCGAGAGCATGCAAAAAGCAAGCACACCTTGTTTCTGAACAAGATATGTTTCTTTTTTTTGTTTATTTGTTTAAAAGGCAAAAATTAAACATTCCAGATTAGAAGCAGCCAATTTTATTTAGAAGTTTAAACAAAAAAATAACTAGTCTTGTTTGAAATCTAAATGCCATAAGTATTGCCTGGGTCTCCTTATTCCTGTATAGATCAGAGATCAAGCAGTTACTGCAGGCTAAGGCTGAAGCAACTCTGGAGCTGCAGAAGTTGCAGGATGATAAGAAAGAAAAGAATAAAGAAGAGCAGACGCTAAGGTATTGTCCTCTGTATAGTAGTGTTTTTTCATTTTATTTTCGAAATCAAAAATTAAAAATGTCTGTTAAAGTACAATTCTTTTCCAAAGTGGCTGAGAATGTGTAGGAGGTCATCTGAGCTGTGGGCAGCTGAAGCAGTTTTGCTTAAATGATAATGAAAGTGATGAAATAAGTTACTAAGAATTCCAGAAAAAGTGGTTAGAGGGATTGGATGAAAAGTAGAAAAACAAGAGGATTGGATTATAATAAAGATAAGTAAATCAAGATATTAACAAAAAAAAAAAAAGACTCAGACTTTTTTTAATCTTATTTTAGCCTTTGCTTTTAGACACCTGTCAATATGTCATTCCATTCATTATGGGTGTTCTGTATGCAATTGTGGCAAAAAAAAGAGGAAAAAAAATTTCATTATTTCTTAGTAAGTCAGGATTTTGCTACAGTTTTATAGTTGTCAGTCATCAGTTCAGATCGAGATGGATTATTAATAGTATCAAGGGTAGCATTGTAACCTTGGGCTTTTTTTTTAAAAAAAAATTTAGCATAAGGCTGTCCTGTCACATCTTGAAAATTGATGTCCCATGTCTGTTACTATGATACATATATCACATAGTATCCTGAGCAGGGTTTTCTACTTTGGCCTTAAAATAAAAGAGAAAAAAAAAACGGTACTCTAACCTCGTGACTCCATCTTCAATGTGTGCATAACAGTAACAATAGCAGTTTCTAACTCAGTGTATCTTTGCCTCATCTCTTGGCCTTAGAGAGGAAATTCAGAACCCTACACAGAATGTGGGGCAACTGGAGCCAAAATTCAAGGAAGACGAGAGACAAGAGGCAGATGATAACATGGAAAAGCTTAGTAAGGTACAGGCTCAACTATTCTTTTTCCTCTCCTAGCTTCTAACTAATATCTTGCAAATGGAGCTGATGAAGTCTGTATAGCTGCTAGATGCTGCTAGATAGGTCTTTTTTATCCCCTTTGAATTTAAATTTTTATAGAGTTGAGCTATTCATAGCATCCTTCTGGATTTTCTGTTATCTAATAAATATAATTGAGTTTATAGGGCAGCCATTCTTCCTGTGCAGGCTTACACGGGGCCTCACTAATCCAACTGCTTATTTTTATGAAATTTGAGGAAACCTGATATTGCAACCTTCCATCCCTCTGCCAATGCGGTCATAACTGGCCAACAAAGATGAACTAGGATTGACAGACATGTTTTTATTTAGATGCAGTGTGGTCTGACTACTCTCTTTTCATTAGAAACTAGATGAAAAGTGTTACTTGGGATTTGATCACTTTGTACTTAAAAATAAATAGACCCTGAAATTATGCATAAACTGAAATGTGAATAAAAATGTCCACTGGTTTAAGAGGTAGCTGTTTCTTGATATACTGTGCAGTTTTATGAGAATTGGTTTTAGGTTTTGTGTTATAGGCTGATGGATGCTAGATGATGTTTTGAATACCAAATAACTTGAGTTTTAAAAAAACAGCCAATAAACATCCCATTTTTCCTCAGCAGACTATATATATTCTTGGCCAGTAACCATCCATTTATTGAAATGGTCCCATTATTTGTAATTATCACTTAGTTCCTACCGATTTTTCATTTTAATAGTAGGTTGTCATTTTTAATATAATGTGATCCATTTGCTAAACTTCAGCTTGTAACTCAGCATTTTAAAGGTTATAAATAAATCCCTTTCACAGAATCAAGAGTCTGTTTCAGACTGTTTAAAATCTCTTGTTCCCCGACTAAGAATTTTATACCAACACATGAAATTACTCTTTAAAGATGCAGTTTTAACTTGTATTTGGCAAGTGAAATGAATCAATTAGCTTTTTGACTATAAACAAACAGTTGGGCTCTCTTGTTCAGGCATTTTTGCCTGGTTACAGATTAAGAGCTACTTGGGTTGTTTCCCTAGTGAAGTCTTTCTGCAGCTCCTTGGTGATTCAGAAGCTGACTAATGTTTTAAGATTATCACTTGAGATATTTTTATAGGAAGTAGTTCAGACTGATGTGAATTCAGCCTTAAACTTTAGGTGACTCTGTATTGTGGATATCATTATTAGGAATCGAAAGGAACAGATGGGCAGAGGTGGAGGGTGCGCCATCATCTCAGGAGAAATAACAAGAAGA